GTGTGTGTGTGTGTGTGTGATAGTTGTACGTGCTCGCAGTGTGTACAGCTGTGTGTGTGTGTTTATTCATTAGCTATAAGAGGCCTAAAGGGATGAGCAGTACCTCATATACAAACCCTTTTGTCATATTAAACTGTAACTTGCAGTTGAGCCAAACACCTAATGGAGTGAAACTGCATTTTCATAATGAAAACCAGAGCAATAAGGAAGAGCAATGGCCGCTCTACCCCACTCATTTCCTGCTCCATCCCTTTAATGTCATTTCCACACATGCTGATTTGATATAATCTGTCATTAAAGCCAAGTGCAACCGGACAAATTGTGCTGAATGTTAAATCCATCTTCGTAATTAGCATACATCATCTTCCCGCCTGCGTAGAATGGGTTCTTCAGACTCCTGTTCCTTTTCCCGCTGCTTCGTTTTTCGTCGCTTATCAACGAACGATGTTTTCGAACTGTCTGCAGGTTACCTCAACATCCAGTCTTGGCCTGAGAACATGACGGATCTGAGTGTTTTCTCCAGCCTGGCGACCATCGGAGGCCGAGCTCTCTACAGGTGCGTTTTGTTTTCACGGCACATCCTGAACCAAGTCCGACCCCGGACATCCTCCTGCTGCGTCTCCACATCAGAATCGACTGTGTTTTATTCCTGATGACTGGTTCAGACACATCCTGGTCCCTCCCTCTGTTCCTGTGTTCGCATGCTAACCCCTGCAGCTAACGGGCCTTGTGTTGTTCTGCACCGCGGCTCTTTGCTGTCACGTAGCTTTGATTAGTCTCGACTTTGATGACGGCTTCTGTGTTCGCTTACAAGCAGCAGATCCCAGGGATGGCGTCGTGCCGGTGTCAGAGGAGATCCCCTCCTTGTTTTCTAAATGCCAGCGATGAACATGTAGCTCAGCGTTCTTCATCGTCTCCTCTTCATCCTCCTCTCCTTTTTAAGTTGCATTCTTCCACCTTCTTTGTTTTATCTGCGTCAGCCTCCTCTTGTTTTCCTCCCGTCCTGCTTTCATCTTTCCCACTCTCCTCTATGTCCTATTATTCTATTTCCTACTTTCTATACCTCTTCATCATGTCCCACCCTCTTACCTTTTCTCTGTTCTACTGTCCCTTCCCTTTGTTTGTCTTTTAAATCCTCACTCACCCTTCTCTCCCTCTCGTTTCTCCCACCTTTTCATTTCCAAACCTTCCTCCTGACTTTTTCAATCTCTCATCCCTCTCTTCCTCCTGCTGCAGTGGAAGTGATATTTCTCTGCTGATCCTGAAGCAGCGCTGGATCTCCTCCCTGCAGTTCCAGTCTCTGGATGAGATCAGCGCCGGTAACGTCTACATCTTCAACAACAGCCGCCTGTGTTTCTACAACACCGTCAACTGGACGTCTCTCTTCCGAACGCCGAGCCAGAAAGTTCTGATCCGCAACAACCGAAATCCTAAAGAATGCAGTGAGTATCGTCTGTGGGACGGACACAAGTTTGTTTTCCCCTGTTTGCAAAGATCAGCAGATTCTCCGATTCCCTTCCTGTTGTGTCATTTCCTCTCCCATGGTTTCCAAACTGCACACGTGTGCTGCTCCACCCTGGGCCTCACACACCGACATGCCTGTTACCAAGGCGACGGTATCGCGGGCATCTCTTGCTCCTCGGCCTTGGACATGAAAGCCATGTTCAGCTCCCTGTGAGGAAAGTGCTTAATGCATCACGCGGACGTGGATTAAGCTCTCGCTGCAGGGGGGGGGGGCTACATGTGGTTCGGCCGCAGGTGGTGGAAACTGACCGCAGAGGATGCTTCAGTGGGAAGAAAATAAAAACATAGAATAGTTTGGTTACTGAGGAGGTTGTGTTTCTGTCGGGAGGGTTTAAAACTTCAGATTTAAAAAGAAAGAAGCTGTTAAATTTAAAGGTGGATCCAGATGTTTGGAGACAGGACTCATGTCTCTGGGTGGAAAGTGATGCAGCTTGATTCATTTCCTTTAGAGAAACACATGTTCAAAGAGACGGACAGACTAGAAAACGCACTCGTGGGCCGCCGTAGTTTTTCTCTGCCCTGCCAGGCTGTGGTTGATATCAATAGCCAGTTAATGAGTGTGGTGTGTGTGTATGTTAGAGATCAATCTCTTCATTAGGCTCAACCCCCC